CAACAATCCGGCGAGACCAGTCATCCAACAGGGGCCGATGCCTCTGTTCCGGTAGCCAGGGAACTGGGGGTTACCCCGCCGAAAAGGTTACTAAAATCAATTTTCCCAACTATTCCRGTGGAGATCCCATTCCTTGGATTTTCAGAGTAGAGAGATTCTTCGAGTATCATGAAACCCCTGCACACCAATGCGTCGCCATCGCTTCCATTCACCTAGAAGGAGATGCTATTCTCTGGCTTCAGTGGTATCRACAAACCCATCCTCAGGTAACTTGGGCGGAGTTCACAGAAGCCTTGTGCATCCGTTTTGGGCCGACGACGTTCGTGGATTACGACGAACTCCTCACTCGACTAAAACAGACCGGGACAGTAGCAGACTACCAGCTCGAGTTCGAAAGAATGGCGACCAGGGTACATGGATGGCCGGAGAAGGCYTTGGTAGGGTGTTTCGTGGGAGGTCTCAGAGAAGACATCCGCCTGGAAGTGAGAGCTCTTCGACCAACGACAGTCATGGCGGCAGTGGGAATGGCTCGCTTGCAAGAAGAGAAGATGGATAGCATGCGCAGAACCAGCAAGCCTTCCTACCTGAATGTGAGGGCTCCCCAGCGGACCGAACAACAACCCATGAAACAAATTGGGGATTCTCAAAAGCCCATTCTGTCCAGGCCCACTGTGCCCTTCAAGCGCCTCTCATGGGCGGAGATGCAGGCCCGACGCGAGAAGGGCCTTTGCTACAATTGTGATGACAAGTTTGGACCGGGCCATAAGTGCCGAGTTCAGCGAGTGTTTCTCCTTCTGATAGAGGAAGAACCAGAAGAAAACGTAGAAGATTGTGAACTGATCTCAGTTGAACCAGAACCAGGGGGAGCCGAGATCTCCTTACACGCCCTCATGGGCCTCAACCCTCTTCAGTCCATGCGAGTAGAAGGAAGGTTGGTGGGCCGATCTGTGATGATCTTGATTGACAGTGGCTCAACCTTGAATTTCATCACTTGCCGATTAGCAAGGCAACTA